CGTTTAATTTGTGAAGCACAATAAAGCAAAATGCAATAAAACTTGCTATGCCTAAGGCATTTGATTGCTAACCAGAAGGCTGGCAGTTCAAACCCATCAGCCACTCCCTACTCAGGAAGACTGGGCAATCTACTTCCATAGTGATATTGCCTCGGAAACCCAAGGAAGGGTCGCTGTGAGTCTAATGGACTCTACAGCACTGAGTTTTGGTATGTCTACATATGAAAGATCCAGGATGGGCAAATTTATATAGACAGAAAGTAGCTGGTCTAGGGTTAGGGGAAGGAGGTTGAGGGAAAATGGACAGTGGCCACTAATGGGTACAAAGTTTCTTTTGGGGTGATAAAATGTTCTAAAATTGTGGTTGCAGGAGTCTGTAAATACATTAAAACCATTGATTTGTACATATCATATAGGAAATTGTATAGTATGTGAATTATACTTCAGTAAACCTGTTTTTTCAAAATACATAGATGGAACAAGCCTGAAAATGTTCCCTTCTGACCAATCACTACAGGTCGTGGGTAATGGAGCAGGCTTATGGGGAAGACGTGAGGAGGAATGAAGGAGCGTGAAGACAAGTGGGAACACGGAGGTGAGGACTTTTGTCTCCGCAGCTAGGGAGTCCAGGGGTGCGGAGACAGGAAGCGGGAGAGGCCAGCTCCATCCACAGGTTCTGGAATGATGAAATAGGGGGTGGGGGGTACAAAGCCAAGGGTAGCGAGGGAGGAGGAGGGAGCACGCCGCGGGAAAGCGCAAGATGCAGGCATGCGGGTACGAGGGGACAGGGGCTTGGACTTGTCCCTCAGGGAGCGTGGGGAAGAGGGGATGCGGAGACCACGAGATGAGGGAACTCTGGCTCAGCCGCCAGGGGGCGTAGGCAAGCCTGCGTCGGACGGTTGAGGAGCCCCTGAAAACACGCCTAGTCCTTCGAACGTTACCCTTCCCTCGGTTCATCCCCCGGGAACCACTCGAGTCCCTCGGTCCCCTCTGCCTCAGCTCTAAAGGCCTCCGCTGCTAGCCTTCGCTGCCGGGGCGGCCGTGCTGCCCGGAGGCGCCAGGGAGTAGCACCCCAACTCTCGCCGCTTTCGAAACTGCCTCTGGACAAAAAAAAAAAAACTCCCTCTAATCCACCAGGGACTGCGCTGACACTTTCTGCAGATCACCTTTTTTTTCAGGCTTTTCTGTGCATAGTACATCGTGGTTCAATAAGGAATGTGATCCCGAGGAGCTGCAGAGAGTTTCCAAACCCAAGGTTAAATTTTCGGAGACGGTGACAAGAATGGCAAGGAGAGGATGGTCTAATCTTTGTCAAAGCATAAAGTCCGTTTATACATGTAGCGCTCATTCATTGATTCAACAAACATATCTGGAGCGCCTCCCCTTGTCAGGTCTTGATCTAGGCCCCGCGGACCAGCGGGTACCGAAGGGCAAAGACGCCAAACGTGGAGTGACTGGTGGGCACCGTGGCAACTGAACAGGTTTCTGCTCAAGTGACAGGCGAGTTTAGAGTGCGATCAGGAATGGCCTGCTGATGTAGTATGGGAGGATAGCAGCTGATGGGCCATGGGGAAATGGGAAGTGGGGTGCAGAGGACATTGGGCAAAGTCCCTGAGGTGGGTGGGTTTGAAGACCAGGGAGGCCAAGGGGGTCAGAGAGGCACAAGGCAAAAAGATGAGAACAGGAAGAAGAGTCTGATTTGAAATGACTTGGAAGGTCACGGTCAGATCTCTGAACTTCATCTTAAATATGCCAGGAAGCCAGGAGGAAGTTTTGAGCCAATTATTAAAAAAGATTTGGACACATACCTGCATATGCATTAAATCAATGCCAAGGAAATAATCTATTGCAAATATTCTTTAGGAATCATCTCAGAGATTTTGATAAAATCATCTGAAATATTACTTTGGAAACATTATTTTTACATTAAACCAAAACGAAACTCACTGCCAAAGAGTCTGTTATGATTCATAGCAACACCCATTGGGTTTCTGAGGCTGTAAATCTTTACAGAAGTAGGTCACCCCATCTTTCTTCCAGGTAGCTTCTGATGGATTTGAACCGCTGCCCTTCTGGTTAGCAGCTCAATGCCTTATCCATTATGCCACTAGAGCTCCTTAACCTCAGTATATAAACACCTACAAATTGTATTGTTTCCATTCATTGCTCCCTGGTTTGTTGTAGATCACTCTTTCTCTTGAGTACTTAATTTTGATTGTTATTTGCTTGCTTGCTGAGTGGTTCCTTGAGTAATTGTTTTCTTCAAAGAGAGGTATCCTTTCTGAGTCTTTGCAGCACTGAAGAAAATGTCTTTCTGCTATCTTTCACAGCAATTAGCACTTTGGGTAGGCAGAGAATTCTTAGGGCATACATTTTCCCCTCAGAACTTCACAGAACTTAATTAACCTCTGTCAGCCTGGCCAATCATAAAAACATCAGGTGAAAAAAAAAATTAGAAACCACCCAAATGTGCATCCAGAAGAAAATGGTTAAATAAATCAGGGGTTGTCCATCCAGTGGAATACTATATGTCCATTAAAAAGGACTAGAAATCTATTTATGCACTGATATGGAAAGATCTCTAATACACTTTAAGCAGAAAAAAAAAAGCAAGGTGTAGAAGGGGTGTAAACTATGCTACTATTTGTGAAAGAAGGGGGGAAAGGAATATATATACATAAGTACTTGGGTAAGGATAAAAGATCTCTGTAAGGACAGAAGAAACTGGAATATTTCTTGCCTCTATAGAAGGAAACCTGTACATGGACCAGGAGGCTGTCATTCGAACAGAACAAGGGGACACTACATGGTTTAAAATCAAGAAGGGTGTGAGTCAGGGTTGTATCCTTTCACCATATTTACTCAATCTGTATGCTGAGCAAATAAACTGAGAAGCTGGAACATATGAAGAATGTGGCATCAGGATTGGAGAAAGACTCATTAACAATCTGTGATATGCAGATGACACAACCTTGCTTGCTGAAAGTGAAGATGACTTGCACTTACTAATGAAGATTAAAGACTACAGTCTGAAGCATGGGTTACACTTCAACATAAAGAAAATGAAAATCCTCACAACTGAGCCAATAAGCAGCATCACAATAAAAAGAGAAAAGATGGAAGTTTTCAAAGCTTTCATATTGCTTGGTTCCACAACCAACACCAACAGAAGTAGCAGTCAAGAAATCAGACGACGTATTGCATTGGGCAAATCTGCTGTAAAAGACCCCTTTTAAAGCGCTGACAAGCAGAGATGTCTCCTTGAAGACTAAGGTGCACCTAACCCAAGCCATGGTGTTTTCATTCGCCTCATATGCATGTGAAAGCTGGACAATGAATAAGGACAACCAAAGAAGAGTTGGTGCTCTTGAGTTGTGGTGTTGGTGAAGAATACTAAAAATACCATGGACTGCCAGAAGAACTAACAAACCTGTCCTGGAGGAAGTACAGATGGAATGCTCCTTGGAAGCGAGAACGGCCAGACTTTGTCTCACCTACTTTGGTCATGCTGTCTTACCTACTTTGGTCATGCTGTCAGAAAAGATCATTGTTTTCTCAAAGAAGGACATCACACTTGGTAAAGTGGAGGGTCAATGAAAAAGGGGAAGACCCTCAACGAGATGGATTGACACAGGGCTGCAACAATGGGCTCAGGTAGAGCAAATGTGGCTGGTGCGGGACCAGGCATTGTCTCATTCTATTGTACACTGGGTCGCTATGAGTCAGAGCTGACTGAACAGCACCTAACAACAAAAACAACATAGAGGGAAATGGGGCAGTTAGGGGCTGGGGTACTGGCAAGATTTTTCATTGTAAACAATATTTATATCTTTTGAAGTTGAACCCTGGAAATGTTCTATTGTGAATATAAAGAAACAAATTCCTGAGCTCTCCTTTTACTTAAAAATCAAAATAAAATAAATATCAGGACTAAAAAAAAAAAAGCACAGCAAAACACTGGGACACAGCTTGGCTTTCTTTTCAAACAGCTCCTCTCTGGGAGACCCCCAGGCACCCAATGGAAGGGTCAACTGATTGCAACAGCCCATTGACAATCACTGCAGGGGACTCTACCCCACAGCCTCTGACAACTGGGAGAAGCACAGCATCTCAATCTGATCCCAGGCTCTTCTGCCTGAATGTGGGAAGGACTATCTCCTTGGAACTTAGGATTCTGCAGAGGTAGGTTAAACTTTCCTCCAAACTGGCACTGAATTTGCCCATCTTCTTTCCATCTGAGCACTCCAGTCTTTCCCTATTTAGGGAAACTGCAATCATTGTTGCCTTTCATATTTTCCTCCTCCTGATCCTTCCCCCCTCCAACACTTGTTATACGTCTATTGGCTCTTACAGATCTTTCCAGCGGGTCTTATCTTTTTCTCATAATTATTGTCCCTTAATGTTTTTTCCTCTGCATTCTGAGGAGATTCCATGAGCTGGTTTTCTAATTTTCTGTTTCATTTTTCTGCTGATTTTAGTCTCCATGGTAGATTTTGGTTTGGAAATCCTGTTTAGAACCCTAAAAATTCTGTGTAGATTATTTCACCTTCCCAGCCGCCAGCCTTTGTTTCATCAATGAATCATTTCTTCTCAAACATCACGGACCATACAAAGTAGCCTTGTTAGGGTCTCCACCCCTCCCACGTTTTCTGTTGCTTCCGCAATAGTTTCATGGGCCAGGGCGCTCCTTCCATGGGGCTGCATTTGTGTCACTGTGGGTGGCTTGGCCAGAGACTATAGTAAGGTTTGGATTCAGTCTAGTCCAGTTTGGAACAGCGTCTTCATTCCCCCAGTGGCCTTTGTCTCCCTGGGGCCACCCTGCTTCTCCCGCTAATCTGCTGCAGTCCCAGTTGCGAGGCTTTTTGTCCACTAGTTGTGCCGCAGGACAGGGCCAGGCCCCCGGCTTCACTCATGGAGAGTGGGGAAGCCAGGCGGGTCCCCCACGGGTCCTCCCACGTGTGTGGATGGCCCACTGCCCCTCCCCCAGGGGAGGCGCTGACCTTGGAGAGGGGCTCCTGGTCGCCCCAGATCAACTTCTCAGGCTTCAGGCACTCCTCGGGCAGCGGAGAGGTCTTGCCCACGGCCAGGGGGTCGAGAGTGCTCAGCAGCCGCAGCTGGCGCGCCTCTGCAACGGGCAGCTTGAAGCGGCCGTAGGCTCTGGCCACAGTGGCCCAGTTCAGCTTGCAGGGTCGCCGCGCGCTGGTGGGAATAGCACTGGTGGGAGCCGAGGGCAGCAACCACATGCCATGGTGCTGGGTCGCAGGCTTCCCAGCCCCACCTGGGGCTCTGGGAGAGCTGGATGAGCCCGCCTTCTGGGAGTCCATCTAGAAGCCAGGCCGCCAGTGGCCGCCAGGAAGGCCTGGCTGGAAACAACGGTGGCGCCGCGCACCACCGCGTGCCGCGCCCCAGTGCCTGACCTTCGGACCTGACGCACCACCCACTTGGCCCACCCTGAGCTGCCTCCTCTCCTGCTGGGTAAAGTGTCTCCCAAAGAACACGGCTGAAAACAAGATCACGAGTTCCAGACACAAAAGTGAGGCAGAGCGTGTAGAACTGGTGATCCCATCGGGCCTTCCTCCCTCTCACAGGGCGATTTTTATATGTCCTTTGCCTGCCTAGGGGCTACTGACCAATTCACACCACGTCCAACAACAGAGATATGGTCAGTAAGTTACAGAATGGCTCTGGAGATAGGATGCAGCTATTAGAGGCAGGTACACACGATTTCTAAGAATATGAAGGAAATTATTTGTCACAATGCTAACAAAAACAACACAGGGCAAACTATTATCTCTAGTAGGGTAATAGCCCCACAGCTAGAAAAAGATCGAAAGGAATTATTCTAAAATACTAAGGGTTGTCACCTCTGGGTGGTAGAACTAGAAGTGATTTTTTTTTTTTTTTTTTCTTTTAAACATTGTTCTGATCATGTTACTTTCATAATGTAAAAAACAAAACCTCTGTACTTTACTTTTTTAAAAGGTCTCATCAGTGCAGATGAGGCAGCCTCAGAGCAGGGACCCACATCTGCAGAGCAAGGACCTAGAGCTGGTGTGACCCAGGGCGTGGGTGCTCATTTTCCCCCTCTGAAGATGTCATCGCAAACGACATCTACTCTGACAGGCTGAGGCCACCTATCTGGATCCTGGCTGTGCCACCCATTAGGTTCTGGCCACTGCTATCAACCACAGGAGGGCTGCCTTATGGGCAAGAAAAACAGCCCAGAGGGACAGCGCCTGAGCCTCCCAGGCATAAGCCCGTCCTTACATAAATCCAAATGGTCCTTATCCGGACCCTGCTTTCCTCATAACACAACCTGAGAAAAACATTCACTTTTAACTGAAGTCACTTTTTAAAAGTCTCAGGAAAGAAATATCAAAAAGAAAATAGAAAAATTCCACTTTAATTAAACTGTACGGTCTGAATTTTTTCCTCTGACACTTACTGAAGTTAAAAATAGAAATCAATTTCAGCAACTTCCAAGGCAGGCTTTGAAATGTCAAGGTTTTAAAAAATTATTTTACAGCATGAATTTACATATAAATACAATCTGTACAATGTATTAACTGAACAATCAATGATCTTCCATCACAGAGGAGATCTGAATTCTGACAGACCAGGGTGGAATTAAATTACTGCCTCCTTAGTGGAAGGCGTTTCAGCCTGGAAAAGAAAAGAAAGAGAAGCAATGTTAGATATAAGCTGAAAAAACAAAACAGCTCCAGAGGGCCAAGTATGCCAGGCCTCTCTCCTGAATCTGCTGGTATGTTTCCACCCATAAAACACAGGGATGAGCACAGATGATACATGCGCTGTTTAATCTGTATTCTTAAAATGCCTCTTCATTTATCCCCAAAACACACACACAGATTCACTCACACACATTTAAATTAGGAACCATTTTTAAAGGCCAGCTCTAATCTTGGCTTCATTCATCTTCCTCACCCATTGTACGTCCTTGGGAAGGAACTAAAAAAGATGTTTGCTCCAGGGCCAAAAGCTCCTGAGTTGTCAGTCTTAAGTCTGTTTCACACGCACAAGAATGTCCATGGCAGCTCTTTCCCCAAAGTGGAAAATTAAACGTCCAGAGGAGTGGAATTGACAGATACCCTGTGGTGTATACACCAAAGTAGTAAGAAGACTGCTGCCAGGGAGGACGCAGAGGCATCTCAGAAACCACACATAAGGGTTCATACCACAGAATTCCTTTATAAAGATCCAAAACTGAAAGGAAAGTGGTAAAGGATAAAAAACTGGCAAGAGAAATCAACAGTGACAAGAGTCAGAGGAGCAGTCACCCTTGGTGAGGAGGGTGGGGGTGACAAGGGGAAAGGGGCACGAGAGGGCTTCTGGGATGCTGGTCTTTTCCTTGAGCTGGGTGCTTTGTTCATGGTGTATTCAGGTAGTGAAAATGCATGGAGTGGTGAATTTATAATCTGCACACAATTATGTATGTGAACTATAATGGAATAAAAAGTTTACTTAACTCTATGACTCCATGTATATGAAATTCTAGAGTGGGCAAAAGTCATTTATAGCAACAGGAAGTAGATCAGTGGTCTCTCAGGGCAGGGGTGGGGGGCAGACTGTAATTCCAACCAGAATCAGGTTGCAAGGTCACTGAAGAAAAGTATCAGGGGTCCTTGCCAGGCATGAGACCCCATGCAAGGTGCAAGGGATACAAGCAGATCCACATGCATCATGAATTGTGAGCCAGCACAGCCATTCCAGGGGCCTCTGGAGCAGTACCAAAGATTTACATGCTCAGCTTCTTTGATCCAGCAATACCATCTTTGCATTTTCGAACCATAACACAATGTATTGTTCTTTATAAAGAAATAAAAAAGAACAAGGAGGTGGTACTTGTTTTCCAGACAGCAAAATATATTCTAAGGCCACAGTAATTAAAACAAGGTAGACAGAAAAATACAAAAAGGCTAAGAAACCAGAATAAAGAGTCTAGGTTCAGATCCATATGGGCACAAACCAAACCAGTGGCTTTGCACTGCCGTCGAGTTGATCTGACTCACAACAACCTTAAAGGACAGAGTAGAATTGTCTCATAGGGTTTCCAAGGCTGTCAATCTTTCTCCCATGGAGTGCTGGTGGGTTCTAACCACCGACCTTTTGGTTAGCAGCCAAATACTTAAGCCGTTCCCCCACCAGAGCTCCTTATATGGGCACAGGAATGCAGAATATGATCTCTTAGACAAAACACTGGGTGGTGCTGAGGCAGTCAGGGCTCAGCCTGCTGTATCCCCCTTTATCGTGGGCTCACACTGGAATTTCCCCTTCTTAGCCCTGGGGCGAGCAGGTGGGACACTGCACCTGGCTCTGACACATGGACACTGGGTGGAAGTGACGAATGCAACTTCCAGGCAGGACCATAACCTCCAGCACCATCGTCCAATTCATTTCCCTCCTTTGAAGGCCAGTTGCTAGGAAACCCAGATCCTGAGTAACTTGCTCTATTTCATTTATGTTTCATTTTGTTAAGCTCCTGGGATTTGAGAATTGTTTTTAATCGTAGCTAGTTTACTCACCCTAATACAACTGACTATTAATTTGGGAAAAATAAGATCCATACTTTATCTATTAACAAAAACCAAAACAGATTAAAGAGCTAAACACAAAACTATGAAAGCATTATAACAGTGTGTAAGTATATCTATCTGTCTCTCTGTCTTTGGGCTAGGGAATACTTTCTAAAGATAAAAATGTAAAATATACAAACAAAAAAAAGTTCTGGTAACTAAAAATGTATAATTAAAACTTCTGTGCAACACATTTATAAATGGTGAAAATGGCTTGTTATATATATTTTATCACATACACACACACACACACACACACACTTCTGTACAACAAAGACAGTTGTAAGTCATGAGCTAGATTGGGAGAAAATATTTGTAACAGGCTAAAAGATAAACATACAGAATTTTTTTAAATTATTATTATTTTTTATTTTTTAGAATTAACTAGAAATCAGTAAAACAACCCAACAGAAAAATAAGCAAACATGAGCAGACTATTTATAAAAAAGTACACAGCAAAGGCTGAGAAACACAGGAAAAGAAGCTCAACCTCATCAATCAGGGAAATGCAAATTAAAAAGAAATGGCTTTTTTTTTTTACCCATGATACTAGCAAATATTTTGTAATAACAAGGTGCTTTGATAATTTAAATGGATACAGCCACCTTTAGAAAGTGATTTGGCAATACCTACTCATTCTAAATGCTCACACCCTACAAATTTATGCTACATAAAAAATCATTTATATTCAAACTGTGTACAGTTGCATGAAACAAGTTTTTACATAAGAAACTGACAGCAGAAGTTATTCTGGATAGATTTGAATTTTTCTAGTGAGAATATATTCCTGTATTACTTCTGTAATTAAACTTTAACAATATTTTAAAGGCCTAGTTAAAATTAAAGACATCATACATGAAGAAAGCAAAAGGTCATTAAAAAGGAAAAGAAAAAAAGACCTAAATGGATGTGAGAAGAGACTCTGAAACTTGCTCTTGAATGGAGAGTAGCTAAAGAGAATGGAAGAAATGATGAAGTGAAAAAGTTCAATGTTAGATTTCAAAGGGCAGCTCAAGAGGACAAAGTAAAATATTATAATGAAACGTGTAAAGACCTGCAAATGGAAAAATCAAAGGGGAAGAACACGCTCAGCATTTCTCAAGCTGAAAGAACTGAATAAAAAATTCAAACTCAAGTTGCACTATTGAAGAATACTAAGGGCCACTCCTCAGAAGGAAGGTTGGGCAATCTACTTCCATAGTGATACCACCTCAGAAACCCAAGGAGGGATCGCTATGAGTCGGGTCCAACTCGACGGCACATAACAACAACACAACAAGGGCAAAATATTGAATAATGCAGGAAGCATAAAAAGATGGAAGGAATATACAAAGTCACTCTACTAAAAGAATTACTGAACATTCAATCATTTCAAGAGGTAGCATACGATCAAGAACCGATGGTATAGAAGGAAGACGTCTAAGCTGAACTGACGGAACTGGAAAAAAACAAGGCTCCAGGAACTGACAAAATACCCATGAAGATGTTTCAACAAACAGATGCAGTGCCGAAGGCATACACTCATCTATGCCAAGAAATTTGGAAGAAGGAAAAAAAATATATATATATTTTGGAAGAAAACTACCTGATCCTATTTCTACCCATTCTGAAGAAAAGTGAACCAACAGAATGTGGAAATTATTCTACAATATCATTAATCACATGCAAGTAAAATTTTGCTGAAGATACTTCAAAAATGGTTGCAGTGATACACAGACAGTGAACTGCCAGAAATTCAAGCTAGATTCAGAAGAGGACATGAAACAATGGATATCATTGCTAATGTCAGATATATCTTAGCTGAAAACAGAGTACCAGAAAGATATTTACTGTTTTATTGACTCTGCAAAAGCATTCAACTGTGTGGATCATAACAAATTACGGATAACACTGCAAAGAATGGGAATTCTAGAAAACTTAATTGTGCTCACGAGGAACCTGTATGTAGACCAAGAAGAAGTCGTTAAAATAGGACAAGTGGATACTGCATGGTTTAAAATCAGGTAAGGTATGTCAGAGTTGTATCCTTTCCCTATACTTATTCAATCTGTATGCTGAGCAAATAATCCAAGAAACTGGACTATATGAAGAAGAACATGGCATCAGGATTGGAGGAATGCTCATTAAAAACCTGTAATATGCAGATGACACAATCTTGCTTGCTCAAAGTGAAAACTTGAAGCACTTATTGAAGATCCAAGACTACATTCTTCAGTATGGATTACAGAAAAAAATCTTCACAACTGGATCAATAAGCAACATCACGATAAATGGAGAAAAGATTCAAGTTGTCAAGGATTTCATTTACTTGGATCCACAATCAACACCCATGGAAACAGCAGTCAAGAAATCAAATGACATATTGCATGGGGCAAATCTGCTGCAAAAAACCTCTTTAAAGTGTTAATAAGCAAAGATGTCACTTTGGAGACCAAGGTGTGCCTGACCTAAGCCATGGTATTTTGAATAACCTCATAGGCGTGTCAGAGCCAGACAATGAATAAGGGAGACTGCAGAAGAACTGATAAATACTGAGTTGTGGTGTTGGTGAGGAATACTGAAAGTCCTGTGAACAGCTAGAAGAACAAATAAATCTGTCTTGGAGGAAGTAAACTGGAATGCTTGTTAGAAGCCAGACTTCGTCTCTCATCCTCTGGTTATGTTGTCAGAAGGGAGCAGTTCCTGGAGCAGGATATCATGCATGATAAAGTAGTGGGTCAGAAAAAAGGGGGAAGACCGTCCATGAGACCGACTGACATAGTGGCTGTGACAATGGACTCAGGCAAGGCAAAGATTGTGAGGATGGCACAGGACTAGGCAGTATTTCACCCTACTGTACACAGTTGCTATGAGTTGGAACTGACTCAATGGCACCTAATAACAACAGTTAAAATACAAACTTATCATTTCTGACACTTGCCCGTAAACAAATACATCCAGATTTCAATGAGCCTTTGAAAGGTTTCTGAAAAACCCCCTTCTTCCCATTCATTGCCTACCGTCGCAGGAGTTCCTCGGGTGACATGTCTGCGGTCCCTTCTTCATCACTCTGGCTGTTACTGCTATCGGTACTCTCAGAACTACTACTTTTCTCCAACTTTTTATTCTTTTGTTTGCCTTTGTGTTTATGCTTCCTGTGTTTCTTCTTCTGTTAAAAAAAAGAAGAAGAAGAAAGGAAAACAGATGTTTTTCCTCCTACTTCAGTGTAATGAAAAGCTAACAAGGCAGTTGGCTGCTAGAGATATTAAAAAACAAAACAATTCCACTGGACTGAGTGTTGGCCTAACATGGGCTAGAGCAGGAACAGAAGAGCTATACACACTCTCAAGTGTGCACATGCTGGGAAAGCTGACCCTCAGAGGCAGACACAGCAGAACCAACAGCTGTGAGCAGTGACCTGTGCTACTCCAACAGCCTGACTGGACTTATTCTGTTGGGTACCTGAGCAATAACACAAGAAGACGGCAAGCACCCTGGAAATGTAGACAGAAACTGGCAGAGAGTCACAGAAAAGCAAATATAGTGGCAAGATGCAAATGGAATTTGGTTTTCAAACTTGTTAGCACTCATTTTTTTTTCCTTTCACTACAAGGCAACTTTAGTCTTCTACTCACAAGAGTCCTTTTCTCTGGTAGTGAACAATGAAGCAGATTCTAATCTATCTACTACTAGCCCAGACTACTTTAAGAAACCAATAATAACACCAACCAAACTGAAAGCCTGTACCATAGCCCCAAAGATATGGATGACATCAAGTTAACTGTCTGAGAAAACATAACATTTTAGTAAGAATTGTGTGTTATAAGTGAAGTCTTCTGACTGTCTTCTAATGATCAACAAGCCAGTCTTCACTGCAGTGGCATTACTGCTCTAAGTACATGCTCCACAAAAAACCCCAGAAGTCTCAGGACACAGCCCTTACAGTGCAATAGGGTCAAGGAATGGAAGCAGCTTAGTATGGAGGAGGCTTCCGTATTATTCTGGGTGTCCTGTGAAGCAGGGGCCCATGCATCTACCCACGGACCCCCTGAAATCATACAGAAATGTGAAGAGGTCAGAATTCACAACACTCATCACTTAATAGACTCTCAAGGGGTCTTTGATACACAACAGGCTCAGTGTCTCTGATATCCTAGAGACAAGGTGCGAGTCAACCTGGCAAGGAAGGGGCCTTGCAACTCTCCTGACACTCAGAACAGAATACATTTGTTGACACACACTGGGCATTCTTACACTGCAAATGCTATATATGGTTTTCCTATCCATAAAATTCACTTGCTTTTGGGAATCTATTCTAAAGAATCAGAAAATAGATAAAGAATTAGGAACAAAGATGCTCTGTCTACAAAGGCAGGAAATTGAGAACAATTAAAAAAAAAAGCCACCAAGGGGGAACAAATTATGCGATAGTGGTAATGCAGCCCTTTGCAAAAATGTTTTCTAAGTATTGTAGATGACACACAAAAGTGTCTATATCAAATGCTCCAAATAAGGAGCCCTGGTGATGTAAACAGTGAACCATTTTACTGCTAACTGGAAAGCTGGCAGTTAGAACTCTTCCAGCAGCTCCATGCGCAAAAGACCTTGTGATCTGCTTCCATAAAGATTACAGCCTTAGAAAATCCTATAGGGAAAATCGACTCAACAGCACCTAACAACAACTATGCTCCAAATAAGGAAGAAAATGTGTTGAGGTGCAGAAATAAAGGAATAATTAAGCCAAAATATTACAACTGTATTTTCTAGGATGTACAACTGGGGTAATTTTTGTTTTTCAATTAAACTTTTACTTTGAGATAACTGCAGATTCACATGCAGTAGTAAGAAATAATGCATAAAGATCTCCTATACCCTTACCCAGTTTCTCCCAATGGTAATATCTTGCAAAACTATGATACAATGTCAAGATCAAGAACATTTCTATCACCACAAGGATCCCACATGTTGTCCTTTTACAGTCATAAGCACTTCCCTCCCACCCCCAAACCTCTAATCTGTTCTCTATTTCTATAATTTTGTCATTTAAAAAATGTTATAAAAATGGGATTTTACAATATGTAAATGTCTATTTATAATGAAGACAAAGTAGTTCAGAAATGTTCAAAATCATTTCATCAATCCTACTCAAACTATTCTAGAACACAGAAAAAGATGGAATCCTCCCAAATTCATTTTATGAAGCAAGTATAATATTCATACCAAAACCAGGCAAAGACATCACTCAATAGAAAAACTTCATCCCTCATGAATAGAGATGCAAAAATCTTCAACAAAATCCTAGCCAACAGACTCCAACAACATATCCAAAAAATAATACATTATGACCAAGTGGGGTTCATGCTAGGTACACAAGGATCGTTCAACAGTAGGAAAACATTCAATGTCATCCATCACATAACTAAAACAAAGGAAAAGAACCACACGATCATATTGATTAATACAGAAAAGGCACTTGATAAAATCTAACACCCCTGACATCAAGCTCAACTGGCATAGCATATACTACACAAAACACTGTTCCACCTTCTACTTTGGCAAGAAGCAAATGGAATCTTAAAGCTTGCCAGCAGCCATCTATATACAACAATGGGTCTCTCCTCATCCAGAGCAAAGAATGAAGACAACCAAAGATTCATGGAAACAATCAATCCTAGCAACAGGTACACCATGCGATACGCAGCCTATACGATTATAAGACCAGAAGAACTAGATGGTGTCTAGCTACCATTGTCAACCACTCAGAGGGGGATCTATGTAGGAGATCCTGGATAGAGAGGGAGAACAATGTGGAACAAAACTCAAAATCATTTGAAAAACAAAAAAGGAGCAGGTTTGCTTGTCTGATAGAGCCTGGTGGAAACACTGAGACTATGGCCCCTAGCTGCCCTTCAGGTCTGGAATTGAACACACACCTGTGGCTTCCAGCCAAACAAAAGACAAGCATATGAGTTGAACATTTACCTGAAGTAGAGACACTCCTTGGAAAGAACAATCATGGGAGAAAGACGGGCTGTTTATGCACAGGGAGACAGCTC